TGACCTGGCTATCTTTTCAAGCCTTCAGCTGATGTGATTCCACATAAAAGAGACATCCCTGAGTCCGTTTCCTGAGTACAGGATCAGGAATGAAGATTTTAGTGTGCTGTCTCTGAGGGCCAATTCCAACCTGAGAGTGCATGGGAAGAGCTACTGAACATGAAAGACAAAACAAAGGTTTACATTTCCCCTGAATTACAAAGCTCAGCTCAGTAAGGGTTCCTGTGTGTCCCAGGGTTCAGTATAGCTAGTGGGTGTGCGATTATATTCAACCTTCCCCTTTCACGTAGCACCTCTCATCTGTAAATCCCAAAGCTCTTTGGAAAGAAAACTGGTATCCTAGCCTCCTTTTCACAGTTAAGGTTACCTTGCCAAAGCACAGGCACCAACATTATGGCCAACTGACAGCTGCTATCCAAGTTCTTTGACTTCCAAGTAGTTCAGAGCACAGGCCACCAGGCAATGCTGGCATGTGTGAAACACCAGCTGGATACGGTTTACAGGCAGGGAAGAGACTGACAAATATGCACACCAGTTAGGCAACTGGCCACAGACAGACCATACTGCTACTGTGGTAGAAAAGCATGTTGTTTCCCCTGACCGTTCTTGCACACACAGTAAATGTATATGGCTATATTATTAAAACATGAGAACACATCAGACTGAAGAAAAGATGCATACTGGGAGCATCATTTATTTATCTCCGAGTGTGTTTTAGCATCCCCTTGGCTGGTAAGTAGCAATAAAAATGTAACATATATGCCATTTTTCCATGTCAAGCAAGAAGATGTGTTGAGCAAAAGAAAAGCAAGGCAGGCTATAAAATAGAAGAACAAGGATTGTTTCAGCTAAATGTCTAGTGCTTCAATAAGGACATGCTTCTGTTGCCTCCTCCTGCCTACCAATTCTGACAGCTTTTTTTCCCCAAAATGACTGAATACAGTCAGTTTGAATAGTCTTTGTTGGGAGTTTTACTAAAAGTGAAATGATACCCCACCTGCAGTACTGCATCCAGCTGTGGAACCCACAACATCAGAAGGATATAGACCGGTTGGAGCGAGTCCAGAGGATGCCACAAAGATGCTCAGAGGGCTGGAGCACCTCTGCTATGGGGACAGGCTGAGAGAGTTGGGCTTGTCCAGCCTGGAGAAGAAAAGGCTCCGGGGAGACCTTATAGCACCTTCCAGTGCCTGAAGGGGCTACAAGGAAGCTGGGGGGGACTTTTTATAAGGGCCTGTAGCGACAGGACAAGGGGTAATGGGTTTAAATTGAAACCGGGGAGGTTTAGATTAGATATCAGGAAGAAGTTCTTCCCGGAGAGGGTGGTGAGGCACTGGAACAGGTTGCCCAGAGAAGCTGTGGATGCCCCATCCCTGGAAGTGTTCAAGGCCAGGCTGGATGAGGCTTGGAGCAACCTGGTCTAGTGGAAGGTGTCCCTGCCCATGGCAGGGGGGTTGGAACTAGATGGGCTTTAAGGTCCCTTCCCACCCAAACCCTTCCATTATTCTATGATTCTATGAAATAAAATTAGATTAAAAAAAAAAAAAGAAAGAAGAGTTGACTCAGAAGTTGGAAAGTCATCAGAAGTGATTGCTTGTTGCTGCCCAGTTCCTAGATACAACCCTGAGTACAAGGCCAGCCCACTGGAGGGAACGCAGGGTCAATAACGCACCAACTACAGGGGACACAAGTAAAATCCACCCATCAGGCTCGGCAGCTCCCCAGGAAATCAGCCCACATTACCTCGAGCCACTCGCTCAGTTTCCCACTGAAGGGGTGATTCAGCTGGCAAAGTGCCATTTCAGACCTGTCTCCGGCCAGTGCTCCCACACTACATAGTCTGCGTGACCCACAGCTGTCCTGCTCTCTACGCCTTCACTGAGCTCCAACAATTCCTGGGGATCTAGGAGGGTGAAAAAAGGCAAGGTATCTCACGTGACAGCAACAACAGGGCCACAACAAGCCGCAGCATTTGTGCCTGAGCCCCGTTTTTATGGACTCTAGGCACCAGCACAGACACAGCTGCCACTGCCAGCTCAAAGCAGTTTACAGTTTGAACTCGAATATTAGGCAAATCATACAAAGCCTGAACTACCAACCTGCATTTTCATGACCTTCACCCACCCATACATCCTGACAACACCAGGGAGGACTCTGCACCTCCTTATTTCAGAGAGCTGGTCTCAATTAGCCAGTCAGTGGTGTTTCACATTAAGGGAAGTTTGCTTTCTATTCTCACCTGGATGATTTTTGTACATATTCATCTTATCTGCCAGAGGACTTGCGCATTCATTTTTTTCCCCTTTCTGCCCAAGAAAAGATCAGAATATAAGATATGCTTTGTAAGTCAGGTGATCAATTAGAACCAAACTCTAACATCCATTATGCTCAAAACCAGACTAACAAGTCAGTCAAGAGGAAAATATTCCTAGACTGGCTTTAAAAACTCCATGGCACTTCTGACACCTAAATTAGCAACTCTACAGCTTATATAAATGTTAATCAGATACTGGATACAGGACTCAAAGACTCTGCCCTGCATTTATAGTTCAGAGTCTTGCATTCTTAGACAATCACAACTCCCACACGAGACCACAACTAAGATCCAGGGTGGAAACAAGACGTGAAAGAAAGATGGAAGGGACACCCTGTATGTGAGGATCTGACAAAAGACATTATTCCATCTTATTTCTGCATTTCACACAGTGATGACTTATTGTTTCCATGCTGCTGCTGAGGGGATGACTGCAGACTTTCAAATCAGGGGTCTTAAGCCCACGTCACCCTTCAGGCTTTAGCTTTTCTGGGGAAATGGGCAGAGAAAGGAATTTAGTTTCTTATCTCAGACCACATTCTAGTTTACACTCAACCTATATACCTCCATATCTAATCTAGCCAAGTTTTTTCTCCGGGATCCTATAACCACAGATAGTTACTGATAGAGAAGTAACCTCTCCGAAGTAAAGCACACGCAAAGGTGCTTAGGGAAATTACTTAACACAGTATTTACTCTGACAGGCATTTCTCCAGACAGCCTTCTCCTGCTAGGACTCTAGCAGACATGAATAATTACCCCCACCTCTGACTCTGAAGCAGAAACGCTGCACTGTTGACAGCATTGGTCCTTCACGTGCATCAGACCTGCAAGCACGGAAGCTCTCTCTTGCACCGACAGCCTCCTCCACCTCAACCCAGTGGGACAGTCCACAAGAGCTTCAACTGTTAATCCTTGTCGTTGCCTAGGGAGAACCAGTCTGAGCAAAGAACCCAGCCCTTGTCTGAACTCTGCAGAAGCTGGACATCAGAGGAGCACTTATCTGTTTTACTTCATCTGCTCAAACGTGCAATCACCTCCTCAACCTTTGTATACAGTCACGCAGCAAGTGCTATACAACCGAGTAAGGGGGATCTGTATGTAACATTCAAGAAGGATAATACAGGCATTTTCCTAGTTCGCTACAATCATAACTCAGCTTCCTCTGGGCAGCTCTGTATCTCTAGCGAGGCTGATTTACAGCTGGGAAAGCAGGACTTGCTGCTTCTACTTGAGTGATACAATCTAATTCAAGTGATACACCAGTACAGTTCCTCAGCAATTTATCTCCTCAACATTTAAAACTAAACCAAAACATGCTTTCCTGTTCAGACTGTTGTATCTGCTTCACTCTGCTTCTCTCTGGAAGAACTGCACCTTTGCAAACTGCTGGATTTCTATCTGAAGGGTACAAGAGGGTTAAACTAATTTGAGGTGAATAAATTTCTCAAGGTAGAAGTGCTTGTACTTCTGCAGCCAGAGGAAATTTGATAGCAAAATACATTTTGAATTCTGATCATGAGAAACAGAAGAATATTAGCAGAAGATTAATATGAAGAAAATTAATCTGTGCCTTTGTACTTGAATTAATTGTCAGTTTAATGTAGTCAGACTTGCAGAAAAACAAGCTGTATGCACCGTATCAGCTAAACACAAGACATTTATACCTAAAATGCTAGTTTTCAAAAGTAAATACAAGTTAAGGAAGCAACACAGGAAAAAGGCTAACAAGAAAACCCAACAGTGGTTTCCAGGCTATGTTAGTTCTACAAATGCTTGATCTTTATAGCCTCAGCTGCCCCCTTCCTCCTCCCAGAGTATGATGAACAAAGCACTGCAGCTCCTCCTTAATGTGTCACTTCTGGATATATTAAAGACAGTCTCTTGAGAAAGCCACCCACCCTGAGTGGAGGCAGAGGAAAAAGTGTCAGGCTGATGAAGCACCACCTCTCTCTTTGCAAGAAGAGCAGCTTTCAGCTCTACAGGTATCAGTGGCGGCAGACAGCTCTTCCCTGCTGGCTGGCTGTTTGCTCACATCTTTTCCATGGCTTTTATGAGGGAATCTTCCACTTTGCTCCCCATCTTCCCTGCTTATCCACATCTCCCCTTTCCCCCTTTATTTGCTTCCCTTAATTTGTCCCTCTTAGACCTCCACCACACAGTTCACGGGATACACCCCTTACATGTGGAGTGCCAGACTTACCCAGTACTGCTCAATCCCTGGGCTAGATGCTGCATCGGTTTGGGAGTGTCCAAGTTACACGGTGTCCCTGTCATGTCAAACAGGGCTGTTCAAGCCTACTGAAACATTGGAATGTCTTCCTTAATATCCAAATGTGCTCTAAGCTCTATCTAAGCCACAGGAACACACTTATTACAAAGAGACTGTCATTAGCATCACTGCTTGGAACAAAGTTTCGTAGCAAACTTCAGATTCAATTTAATTAAATCTTATCTGTATTTGTCAACCGCTGTGCAGTAAATAGAGGCACTGATATGGGAACTGAAAAATGGAGAAATTGCAAAATGACAGCCCAAACAAGCTGTAATAATTCTTTTCCTTTCCTGCTCCTTCCCAAGTGTAGCAATGGTATGATCCCTCCCTGAGCAGGAATACATACTTGAGGAAAACACACTTCTGTAACCAAAACTAAGTATATTTCAGAACTAAGCCCTCAATACTCACCCAAAGTGTTTGTTGCAAAGTTTTTTTCAAGTCCATCTTCAGTTAATTCTCTGTTATTCACCATACATCCTGCATTGTTGATCTGTAAGACAACTCCTGTAAACAAAAATAATCTACACAAACAAAACCACCCATACAAGCAGTCCCTGTTGGTTTGCTGTTTTCTGACACTGCAACACAAAGCCACAAACTGTTTCAATACACCATGCAATTCCAAGTCACACCGCTCTGTCGCTGATCCTAAAGGGTTCTTCTTCCACAAAAGAAATGATGTCCAGAGAAATGACTCTCCACAGACGTATTCCACTAAGAGCCAACAGCCCTCAGTGCCTTACTCCATGTGTTTAAATTCTTTGCTCACAGAAAGTAATATGGAAGTTGTAGAGCAGATATTAGAACATCAAGATGCAGTGTAGTTCGTTAGTCTCATCTGAGAGACCACACTAAGCCCACACCATCCATGCTATTCTCCGTTAGGGCAAAATTCACTATGGGAAGCTGTGCAACAAGTGGTAGAACAGAACTCCAACAAGAACTCCCACCCCTGGCAAATTCAAAGAATTGGCTCCTAACGTGGCAGATTGGCCAGGTCAGGAGGCTGCTGCATCCTAGTTAGCCCTAAGAAGAGCAAAGATAACCAGAAGAGGTGCTTCATACTCACTTTGTGCCCTGGTTGTAGGGACCCCGGCTTTTCTCTCTGTCTGGCAATCACAGGATGGTTTGGGTTGGAAGGGACCTTAAAGACCATCTAGTTCCAACCCCCCTGCCATGGGCAGGGACACCTTCCACTAGACCAGGTTGCTCAAAGCCTCATCCAGCCTGGCCTTGAACACTCCCAGGGATGGGGCATCCACAGCTTCTCTGGGCAACCTGTTCCAGTGCCTCACCACCCTCTCCATGAAGAATTTCTTCCTGATCCCCAATCTAAACCTCCCCCCTTTCAGTTTAAACCCCTTGTCCTGTCACTACCACTCCTCAAAAGCCTTTTTTCCTGCTTCTGTCAGAATTTCCTCATCTAGCAGGCATCAAACCAAGGTGCTCCAGGTGCCTCAGTTTTAGTACAACCCCCCAGGGCAAATTTTCTCTGCTAAGTAAAGGGTAAGTGTACTGAGACCCTTACGTGCCATGATGCTAACTGCTCTCTCTCTCCCTGGCTTTGTTGTAGACTGCTCTAACATGACCTTCTATAAAAGGTTTACTCTTTAAGAGGGGCAAAGTTATTAGTAATGAAATTCAAAGAGAAAATGTGTGGTAAGAACCTGAAAAGATGCAGCTACAAAATTACTGCCCTTCTCTCTTTTTATAGCATAACTCTCTATGTGAACTGAGAATAGACAAGAGCAAACAGAACATGGAGACTACTATAAAAGCATTTAGAGAAAATTGAGCAGAGAACTGTGGGCCAAACAGTGTAAATTTAGACTACCTTTTGGACAAATTCATAGGTTATACACTCCAAAGACAGACACATGATTTAAGTAGGCAAACTTACCAACACATTTAATTTATGTTCATTTTTGAATTTTTCAGCAAATTTCCAGATTTCTTTAGGATTAGATATATCCACAATATGCAAGAAGATATTCTGAAGGAAAAAAAAAAAAAGGAAGTTACAATCAACAGGGACATTGAAGAGATCCTGTTCACTGCTAAGGCCTGTCTAGTTGAAAAGGTATTTAAGCGGTATGAAAAAAATATTATCTCCGTGACATAACTAACACATTTAGGTTAATAAGTGCAACTGGGAAGTCTAATGGGAATACACAGTTAGTCACTTGATTCAGTTGCTTCTGAGCTACAGCTTTTTAATGCCAAATTTATTTAAAGAGTGTCCTACTCAGATAAATATACGTGACAGACAGTCAGGCATAGCCGAGAACTAGAAAAATACTGCAGAGCTTGCAAAACTTCTGTTTAAACAATTAACACAGCAGCTTTCTCTTTAGCTGAAAGCAACTTTCCAAAGCAGTGCTCAAGGTCGCAGCATTAGAGACAATTTAGGTTGGAAGGGGCTTCTGGAGGCCGCTTGGTCCCACTGCCGTACCAAGGCAGGCAACTGAGATGAGGTCGTCCAGGTAAGTTCTATTTCCAAAGACGACGATTCACCCAACCTCTCTGAGCATCCTGCTCCAGTGTTTGACCACCCTCATGGTGTAAAAAACACTTCCTCCTATCGAGCCAAAATTTTTACCTGTTACAATCTGTGTCTGCTGCTTCTTGTCCTTTCACTGCAGACCTCCAAGAGAAGCATGGCAGTGCCTTGCCTACACCCTCCCGTCACGTGGCTGTTGACTACAGTAAGACCCACCTCAGCTTTCTCAACCACACACAAACCCAGCCCTTTCAGCCCCTCCTGGCACATCACATGTCCCACCCCCTCAGTCACCCTGGCAGCCCTCCACTAGACTTGCTCCAGGGCACTGACGACTTCCTTGTCAGCTCAAAACTGGGCACAGGAGTCCTGCTGCAGTCTCACAAAGGCTTAATAGAGAGGAAGATGCTCTTCCCTCAGCCTGCTGCGTTCGTACAGCCTGGGGTGTGGTTGGCATCCTTACCCCAGGGCACACTGCTCACTCGGGGACAACTTGTCACCCCCAGGTCCCCTTCTGAAAAGCTGCTTTCCAGCCAGCTAGTCCCAGCCCGTAGCACTCCGCGGGGTTATTCCATCCCAGGACAGGACTGTGCATCAGCTCTTGCTGAACTTCATGAGGTCCATGTCAGCCCTAAATCCCTCTGAACAGCAGCCATTCTGTCCAGCTCCCCCCTGCCCCCATTTGAGATCATCTGCAATCTGACACAGTTTGCACTTCACACCATTGTCCAAGTTGCTAAGAGACAGTTTTTGCCCCTGTTTGGATTCATGGAGGAAGCCACTAACAACTGTTAACAGATCAGCTTTGCACTATTGATTGCTGCCTTCCCAGCCACATGTTCCAGACATTTTTCCACCCAGCTTGTTATCCATCAGTTCAAACCACATCTCTTCAAACTGGCTACAAGGATACTGTGGCACACCACGCAAAAAGCTTTGGCAAAGTTAAGGAGGCAATCACTGCTCTCTCCTCCTGTCCACAGGCAGAGTTACCTCACCAAAGGCAGCGACCGGGAAGGTCAGGCCAGGTTTGCTCTTGATATATCCATGCTGGTTTTTCCTCAATCACCTATGTCTTTCATAGCTTCCATGAGGATTTGCTCCATAATTCTCCTGGGAAGCAAGGTGAGGCTGACTGGCCTTTAGTTGCACAAATCCTGCTTGCCTTTTTTTGAAGATGAGTGGTTTGCCTTTTGCCCCGTTAACAGGAAGCACCTTCCACTTTAAGGAGGTTTCCCTTGAAAATCAACCAACTTTCCCAAGGCCTTTTACTTTCCACCTCCAAAGAGCAAAACTCCCCTTTGTCATCCCAGCTTGCCTTTCAAAAAGGCCCTGTATACCTCCATTCCAGCACTCTAGTCATGCCAACTATACCTCTCGAACCCCAGTGAGCTCTGCAACCCCGCATGGATCCCTGTGCTGTATTCATGTACAGGCATCTGAGATGGGCTCCCAGTAATGGTGCTTTCACATGTAAACTGTGAGAGCCTCTTCCAATTTGCTGTGCCCTAGTCACGTACTTGCTGTCCCCATGACTCCACTGTTCTTCTGGGTTTGGTCACTGTCCCCCAGTGAAACCAGTTTAAAGCCCTCCTCAGTAGCTTTGCAAACCTGTCGGCAAAGATACTCTTGCTCCATTTTGCCACACCTGCCCAGTAATGTTCATTTCTCAGAGAAGGTCAAGGAGGTCATAAAGGCCAAAGACAAAGTGACAAAGGCCAAAGTGACACCAGCCGCACATTCTGGTGTTGACCTGCGTATGCTCCCACCCAAGCCCCTCCCTTTCACTGGAAGGATTTAGGAGAGCACTACTGGGGCCCCATGCCCTTCACCCTCTGTAAGCACTGTTGGTGAACTCAAGGTCGCCCCTCACAATGTCACGGGTGCCCATGTGGTTGAGCAACATCCAGACATCATCCAACATCCAGACAAGCCTTGGCTGACTTCCCAACACCCTAGATCTGAGTCCCCAGCAAGTGCTAAACCTCTTGAGATATGAAGCCAAGCCTGCAGATGGTGCCTCCATTCCCCACAGGAGGGAGCCTCCAGTCGCTATCACCCACCGCTTCCGCCTCAGGCTCATCTGGTTTCAACAACTGTCCCTGACAGAGCTTGTTCTCCCTCATCAGTTACCATGGCCCTACACCTATCCTGTAAATGCACATCTGCAGACAGGGAACAAGCCCACCTTCTGCTGCCTGCCAGCCCACAAGCTTCCATTCTTCCCCAGCTTAGGAGTCTCTATCCACTGCTTATTCGAGCATAGCTTCTAGCTGTCCCTCCTTCCACACAATGTGGGGTTTGTGCTCTTCTACTCTCTGCAAAGACCCTGTCAATCTGTTCCTGTTCCCTGCAGTGATGCAGCCTGCTCATCTCCTGCCATCACCTCACCCGGCAGCCCAGCATCATGACCACAGCAGAACCCAACAGACGAGGCCACCATCATGCTCTGCCCCTGGCTCATGGAAAAGTACCAGTCCCTCCCTCCAGCCCAACATCTGCCACATCATCCCTCCAGAGCTCTGTATGGGCCAGCCTCCTGTGCGCCAGGCAGAGCCGCTCCAACCAGGGTGGGAAAGCACACTTCCAGGTCCATCACTGTGCCCACTCCAGCTGTCGCAGAGCGTCAGGTGCCTTCTGCACCCCCTTCCATGCTAACTGCTAAGTCCTTGTTAGCCACCCCGTGTCAACAGTCTTGCAATGTTCTGAAATACTACGGCCAGGGATGCGGATGCAATAGGATAAAAAAAGGAAAAGCTTGACATCAAAGCAGAGTTATAATTTTCTAAACCACTAAAGCCAGAAATACCTCCTCTCTCCAAAACATCAAAAACCTTTTACTGTTTGTTACTCTTGCTTTTCGAAAATGCGTGTTCTACCTAGTACATGCACAGTGGCATTTATCAGCATACAAAAGGCATGTCAACTCCTACTCTTCTCCTCGATAGCACTTAGTCTCAAAGACGTACCACAGACAGCCTTGCGATGTACCCCAGGAAAAGGCAGTTCGAAAATAATTATGCAGAGAATGTGTTCTCATGCAACACAACAAATAATCATTAAAGGACCTGGTCTCCTCCCAAGTTGTTTCTTTAAATACTCATTATACAGGCAAATGAGATAAGTGAAGAAGCCGCGAAAATTATAAGGCATTATTCCCTGCCTATAATTCTGCATCCCTGCAGATAAAGAACACGTGACATCTCTCTAGCCATTGGATATCATCTCCTCAGTTGAGTTAGGTCAGAATTTTCTCATCCTAGTGTTCATTCCTAACCAAAAACTTGACTCTGCTCTATTGTTTCTAACTGGATCTCTCTTTAAAAGCTTTCTGCTTTTAAAGCAACTATTACTGTCTACTGGAACAGAAGAGCTGAAGTATTTTGGGCAGATGTTCAATATTACAAGTGATTGCAGAGACTGGAAAAGATCTAAATCAACACTTAATCTGCTGAAGACTGCCACATTGGCTCACAAAAAGGACCCACAGGCCTGTTCCTTATAAAAGTCCTCAGCAGTAGTGAAAGTGTTTTCAAAGTGAGACCTAACCTCCGTGACTAAGTCTACTTTAACAGATTCAGAGAACCCAGCTCCCAGGTCTAGGTGCAGCTGCCTGCCAATTAACAACTCCATTTCAGCACTGAACTCCGGCATGTGTTGCTGTGGAAGACTGGGGGTTAAAAAAAAAAAAAAAAAAAAAAAATCTTTGGCATACACTACAACAGGATCTCTGCCCAGATGATCAGGAAGAACGAGTTAAGTCTGGATAAGCTTGTTAAGTTGCAGATAAAGCATTTTATTATCTCCCCGCATTGCTTCTGAATGAGTACTTCTAGAGAAGGATGTTCTTGTGGACTCCTTATTAATACGACTCTTCCCAGTGCAGTCACATGTCTCACAGGGCCTCTCGCACAGCTCATCTAACACTTCACTGAATGCTGCCTTCTACACAAGTGCCCTGTCCCGAGGGTCACGCACAGGTTCTGCGCTGCACTCATACCCTTTCATGACTAGAGAAACTACAGGTTCGCAGCCTACCAAAAAGTGGGAAGGCAGTAATTGTGCTGCTTTTAGAGGAAGAACATTATTTGCCTCAAGTTTTGTTTTGCCAAATGACAGAAGACAGAACATGAAGGAACCTTCAGAGGTCATTGAACTCATCCTTCTTCCCAGGCTGTCTGACTGCAGTTAGAAGAGGAGGGAACACAGATAATCACCAGTCTTACGATAGCTATGGGATTACACAGTTATAGACAGCTGGAAAGTATTTATTTCTACATAAGGACTGGTCTAATTCACCTCCATTAAAGAACTGAAGTGTAATGCTGGTTGTGTCACACTGGGGAGCTGAAACCAAAGAGCAGAAATTTAATCAATATGGTATCTCTAACCATAAAAAGTCTTCAGAATTTTTGATCCACATTAAAAACTGTTACTGGAATCAAAACACTCTGTTCCAGAGCCAAGTGACTATTTAAAATTAAGATAGCTCTCCATTCAAGTGTTGTGGGTTAACCCTGGTAGGCAGTTAAGCAGCAGAAAACCACTTGATCACTCCCCTCTCAGTGAGATGGAGGAGAGAATCAGAAGGGTAAGACAGACAAAACTAGTGGACAGTTCAAGAAGTGAAGCAGAGTTGTGTGTGTGAAAAAAGCAAACCAAGAAATTCATTCACTGCTTCCCATTGTCAGGTAGACGCTTAGCAATCCTCAGGAAAGCAGGGCTTCTTCACATGCAACAGTGATTTGGAAAGCCAAGCACCATTAACTGCAAATGTTACCCCTTCTTCCTCCTTCCTACAGCTTCTACTGCTGAGCCTGACATCATACAGTGTGGAATATCCCTTTGGTCAGATGGGGTCAGCTGTCCCAGCGTGTCCTCCTCCAGCAGGAAAGGGCAGCATGAGAACCAGAAATGGGCTTGATGCTGTGTGAGCGTTGGTTGGCAATAACTAAAACATTGGTGTGTTGTCAATGCTGTTTTAGTCATAAATCCAAAACATAACACCATGGGAGTTGCTATTAAGAAAATTGACTTTATCCCAGCCAAAACCAGTACCCCAAGATAGAAAGGCAGTGACTGTACTTTTCCATAAGCACACCCTCCTGAATAATTAGGAAAAGCTACTGAGGTATACTGTAGAGTGATATATGCAGAAGCAAAAAGAATCTGTTACAGAAGGGAGGAGGTAAAGAAGACATATTATAGGAAAAGGAAACTGAAAATTCTATAGAGCATGGAACTAGGACCACACACAGGACTTCACAGAGCAGCCAACCTTAGTAAATCAAGAGCATGTTATTCAGAGAGATAAAACCTTCAACTCCAAAGCTGTAAACTCTATGTTGTTGCAAGAGTTTTGCAATGCATTAACTTTTAAAAAGCTCAGCCACATAGTTAGGAATAGTAAGTAGGGCATCACAAAACATATCAACAACAAAACACTAAATGTTTACTGATGTTGTTAGTAAAAGTAAACATCACCTAGTGAAATCCACAGAACCATAGGATGGTTTGGGTTGGAAGGGACCTTAAAGACCATCTAGTTCCAACCCTCCTGCCATGGGCAGGGACACCTTCCACTAGACCAGGTTGCTCAAAGCCTCATCCAGCCTGGCCTTGAACACTTAATTAAATCATTTCAAACCATGATAAACTGGTTTCCATGTCCATATGAAAATGCTATTAAAAACACAACAACAAAATGACAAAACAGAATATCTCAAAGCCTCTGAGGACTTAATATTAACAGTCTCTAAGAGTAAACAGACTGAAAACCAACTCACCTGATTTCCCGTTTCTGTCACTATTTCTCCTTTGGCGACCTCAGCCCGTTCCTTATTTCGGCAAACCAGATGAACCGTGCCACCTGGTGGAACCCGACCAGAAATACAGCTGATAGTTAATTACTAACCGTGTTTGGGGGAGGCCTCAGGAAACAGGGAGGGCCACGAAATGACCTGCAATTTGCAGTTCTTGCATGGGGTTAGTTTTTCATACAATCCAAACGAAACAGAAACCACCATTCGTGATTGCATTCAGGTTTGCGTGAAATCAATAGCGTGCTAGTAGCAGTGGCAATACTGGGCAGATGGTCACCGAAATACCACGGGAGCTTCCCAGCAGGCAGAATGTTCCTGAGCTGTGCACAACCAACAGTCCCACTTCTCTGCTGCCAAGCGCTAAGCAGTTGCTCTTCAACAATGCCACTGAAGCTCAGCTCTGTGGAGCTCTCGGGGCTCCCATGACACTTGCTGATGAGCTGGGAGCTGCTTAGGGCCATGACATCCCATTAGTAGTCCCAGGTCCACCAGCTTTGGGCCATTTTAGGGTCAAATGCTCCCCAAAAAGCACCAACCCAGCAGCACCATCAGGCAGACCAAACACAGCAAGAACCCCAATAAGGTCAAAGGACTGAGGTAAAGGTCCTCCAAACAAAAGGTTTGGGACACAAACAAAAGGGGTAATAAGAAAGCTGGAGGATTTCTGCTTGCCTCCAGTCCCTGTGAAGGCAGGCAGAGGGCAGAAAGTATCATACTGTAGCAGGGTCCTCACACAAGGCTGGAAAAGGCTACTGCACTCTAGGTACTGTCGGCCCAAATGATTTTTTGTCAAGTTAGCACCTCAAGTGTAGTGTTGATAAAATACCAGAGCTAGACTGGAAATGGAAGCTCAGGCATCTGTACTGTAAATGTTTCTTTTGGTACATGCCGTAGGAAGTTGAATAAAAGCCTTGAACAACAGAAGTGACTGGAATTGCTCTGTGAAAAGGAAATAAAAATGCAAAACCTGGCAGGCCTATCTGTCTCTGAGCAAAACAGTCACCAGACAAGGCAATACATACATAATGGCAGTAGTGGGAACCTGAAATCAATCACATATTGGCACTGATGGGCATCTTTACCCCAAAGACACTTTGATGCTAATCATTTTGAATTAGTTTAATTTAACCGAGTCACCACTGTCCTGCGTAAGATAGTTACAAAACCTAAGCAGGCAAAAAGGGCAAAGAGCTGCAAGCTCCTCCCTTCTGTTCTACATGCCAAAACTCCTACCGCTCTTGCACAACAGGAATTATTTTGTCAACTCTGAAAGGGATTAGGTTTATCCTTCATCAGTAGCTAGTCCCAGTTCATACTATCTGTTGCTCTCTGTAAGCAAGGATAAAAATGGTTGCATGTAATCAGTTAAAGGGCACGAACTCCAGACTGTCATGAAGATCAAGCACAACTACACTGCTTCTTTTATACTCTCCCATCTCAGCTTAGCAAAGCCAATTGTTTTCTTTCATCGTTATGATGTTTTGCAAGTTCTTCAAAACAGTTCAAATTCAGCCAGGCTGCTATCAGCCTTAAACAGACCTTAATCCGTCACTAACATTCTCAGATGTCCCTGTAGAACAGGTAACACTTGAGAAACACTTTGCAGAGCCTCTCCACTAATTTTCTTTCATTATTCCAGTTTGCACAGCACTGATCGTGCCTAAACCTCTAACCCACACCAACAGCTCTGTAAACCAACACGCCTGACCTCTCCTTCATCCCCAGGAGCTGCATCTTTGTGTCTGACCCGGAAGGCCAAACCTGCTGCCTTCCATCCCCTCTGTGCTGACCCCTCAGAGCGGCTCATCAGGGCCCCGCTCACCTCTCCTCGCTATCTCTGTAGCTGTTGCCTTGCCAATGCCACTGTTTGCACCGGTGACCAGGAAGGATCTTCCAGCCACGTCCACCTCCACATCGGCTGGATTGAAGTGCTTGGAAGCAGACTCGTAGCCACCCCTGAATAAATAGGAGACACCTGTGAGAAATGAAGAGCAAGGGCTTCCAAAAAGCACGTGAGGGTTAAAAGGCACTCTGCCCTCACAGCTCAGCACGTGCTAAACGCCCCCCTCTCCCCATTACCCTCCGTGCCCGGCGGGACAGACCGATGTAGTGACATGGCAAGGAGTGATGTAGCGTTTGTT